GACAGGTGGGAGCCCCGTGCATGGCTGGGATGACAGGTGGGAGCCCCTGTGCATGGCTGAGATGACAGGTGGGAGCCCCATGCATGGCTGAGATGATAGGTGGGAGCCCCGTGAATGGCTGGGATTACAGGTGTGAGCCCTGTGCATGGCTGGGATGACAGGTGTGAGCCCTGTGCATGGCTGGGATTACAGGTGTGAGCCCTGTGCAAGGCTGGGATGACAGGTGTGAGGCCCGTGCATGGCTGGGATGACAGGTGTGAGGCCCGTGCATGGCTGGAATGACAGGTGTGAGGCCCGTGCATGGCATCCTGGGTATTTCTAAGCCAAGGCTGGTTGAGTCCATGGATGAGGAACTCATGGCTGCAGGGACTGGCAGTGAGTCAACTGTTCACACTGAGAGCACACATACACAAAGCTTTTCAAAACCTAACTGTGGCATAAGAGAAAGTATCTGGAGACACATAGCTCTTCCACACACACCGCAGCGATTCCCTCTGAAGTTATTATGGTGGCGACACCAAGGAAGCTGTGGCTTACCTTCCTTCCATGTTCAGGATGCATACCAGCTCATCCTCAAAAAAGATCTCTGGGCCTTCAAGGTTCTCAATGTCACTGAAGCCATTACAAGGAACCTATGGAGAAGACACACACAGGAGGCCTCAATCATGAGTTAGCACAGCTGACTCTGGCAGACATAGCTGAGCCCCAAGTAAGGGAGGCCACACATGGAGCAGTGATAGCAGCTCCTACACACTCCTCCTAGGGCCTCCAGGGCAGAAAGAAACATGGCAGCCACGGCACACTCAGACCCTGGTACCCGAGGCTACGGCCTCACGCTCATACAGTCTGAGTTTCTGAGGGGCAGAGGCATAAGTCCGAGGCAGAGGTGCTCCTGTGTGTGTACTGTGCTCTGCATGTTGAGGCGACGGTGCCTTTATGCAGAAGCAGTGGTGCACGTGTGTTGGGATGGACGTGTACATATGCTGAGGTGACGGTGCGCTGGCTGTTAGGTAGAGATACATGTGTGGTAAGTTGGTGGTACATGTGCTGAGAGCTGGGGGTGCATTAACAGTCTCAGGCTAAAGTCCTGGGATTTCCCCCAGTTTTCCTCTTGAAAACAGCCAGTGTTTCAGGTTGATGTGTGTGTACATGGAGGAGAACAAGAAAACCAGTGTGCGGAGCCAAACTGATCACTCATCTAGGAATCCTCCCCTGAGTATGCCCCTGCTGCGTTCAAAGTCCACCTCACATTCTAATTAAGTAAGTAGTGACAGGGGAAAGATGAGGGGAATGTTCATCATCAGTATTAGATAAAATCAATATTAGATAAAAGCACACACAAACACAGGTGGATCACAAGGAGAGCCAGTGAATCAGTGGCCTGTGACTAACTGTATCCCACATGCCCTGCACCAAAACACCTGGGTGTGCACACAGTGAAGCTGGGGCACTGTTCCACACTGAACAAAACCTTGGTTCATTCTGCCGTGAATGACCATTTCTATAAACAAATTGGGGAATGTCTATTTGTAGTTCCCATAGGGGACTGAGTTAAAAAGTGTTCAAAGTTCAGATCTGCCCTTTCAAAACCTGAAACATCTTGAAAATGCTGTTCAAAAACTCCACTAACAGCAGAGTGGAAAATCAGAAATAACCTTCAGAAAATAACCTTTGTCAACCTAGAAGAACGAAACAAGTAACGTCAGCTACACTGACTGGTCGACGCACAATCTGCAGGGACGAGAAATACGAGAGGGGACAATTTCCTAGCCCTGCAAAAAGTAGTGAGTGGAATGGGGACACTTTGGACAAGGGAGAAATGACGACTAACCCTGAACCAGAAAAGAAATACACATCCCCACCATTACAGAAAAGTGACACACAACTCAAAAGCCAGGCCTGAGGATGCGTACTCGGAATGACAGCCTTCGGGAGGCTGGACGGGAGTTCAAGGCCAGCCTGGGCCACACAGTGAAACTCCTCTCACAGAACAAAGAGTCACAATGATAAGAAAAACGATGAAGGGCCAGGAGCAGCGGATGCCAGGCAGTTTTCTTGGGGTGGGGGGAGGAGGACAACGGAACTGACCTACGGGTAGCTTTTAACTTTGGTTCCTGAACAAATGAGGCAGCATTTACTTCTGCAAGCCTTCCTGGGAAAAACAAGTCCAATAGCTTGACAGTGTTCAAACACTGGTGACTCGCAGATCACTCAGTGGCTCTACAAAGCGTTTAACAGTCTTGAAGAGAAATAAGCCTTCTCTGGACCTAGTGGACACCGCCCTCTGGGTCCCTCTCCAAGGTTCCTCAACACCTCACTCCCTCTGGCTTTAAAAAAAAAAAAAAAGTAGGGCTAGTAGGGACAAATGGCTCCGTGTGGCTGGACAGGAGGGGAAGGGAGAGGGCACAATGACTCCCATAACCATGTATAAGCAAGGGATTGTGTGACCATTGAAAAGGGAAATCGGAAGAAGAGCTGAGAAGCTAAGGCAGGCGCACACGAACGAGCTTGCTCGCGCACGCACGCGCACACACACAAACACGCACACACACAGAGAGCATGACCAAGCCTGAGCCACATAACAGATGCTTACGTGCTCTGAAAAGAACCGTTTGGAGAAGGAGGCTACAATCTTCCGGGCCTCTAACCCAGCTTTCTGCCGAACTTTATATTCCTCTAACCAATTGACGTAGTCGGTGGGACTGTAGTGCTTCATCAGGGAGGGCCACCTAGAAGGGGAGAGAACACCCTTCTCAGCTCCGCAGAGACTGCAAAAACCACCACGGAGGAGTCTGTGGGCAAGGGGGTGGGGGACCTGGCAGAGGCTCTAGCTGCCAGATCTATAGCGTATGCATGCATTCCCTTAAGACTCAAGATGCAGTGACCTTGGCGTGGCGACACGAAGGCAGTGTTTCTAACACCAGCTTCCCCCTACCCCATCTCAACCCCCGCCCCGATCTCCGTGGTGGCCACAATCACAGCGATGCTAACGGTTCGCACTGATGGCGCGCCTCCTCAGCACCAGGCCCTGCAACCCCGGGCCGCATCGCATTTGATTTCCCCACTTCTGCAAATAATAATAATAATAATAATAATAATAATAATAAGAGGTCTTATCCCGGAACGGGGAGCCCCAGGTTGTGGAGAAGGGAGGTGGATGGACATCACCCCCCTCCACCCCCAACCAAGGTCACGGGCTGGAATGGCAGGTCCGATGCCGGCATCCTCCCGAGCCCGGAATGCACGCAACGCCGCCTGCACGTAAACATCCTGCACCCAGCGGACCACAAACGATGCGCGTCCTCCCGCAGCCGGGAGGCGCTTGAAGCCGCAGCCCCGGGGGCCGAGCCGGAGGCCTGGCCGCGGGCGGCTGACGGACCCCATCGGAGCTCCGGAGGCTCCGGGCCCAGGCCTTTGTCTGCGGCCGCGGGAAGCGGCCTGGAGCGGGCGGCGCGCGGCCCGGAGGGTAGCGGGGTGGGGCTCACGCGAGGCCCGGGCCGAGGGGCTGCGGGGAACGGAGCGGACGGCTCACCTCACCCGGAACTGCTCCTTCCACACCTGCCCGCTGCTCTGGCACACCTCGCGCAGCCGACGGCAGGTGCTGGACACGCGGCCGATGTCGAGCGCCGTGAGCGAGCCGCTGCACAGGATGTACTCCAGCACCTCGCCCGGCAACTGCACCAGGCAGCTGGGGCCCGTCGCCTCGGCCGCGGCCTCCTCAGCCAGCGCCGGCACCACCTCCATAGCGCTGTCCCCCGCTGCCGCCGCCATCTTGTCCGCGTACCTGAGGGGCCGCTGCGCGGGCGCGCGCGCGATAGGAGCCTAAGAAGCCATGCCACGCCCCGCCGGGGGCGTGGCCGGGGAGCGCCCCGCCCATACCGGGGTCCCGCCCACTCAAAGCCCGGAGCACAGGGAAGAGCCAAAGGCGAGAGCGCTGCGGCAGATAAGGTCTTTTTTGGGTCCTGACTATCCCAGCGGCGTTTTTTGTTTTTGTTTGTTTATTTTGTTTTGTTTGTTTTGTTTTCTTTAAATGAAAGCTGGGTGCTCGTTTCGGCAGCGCAGATACTAAAACGGGAACGATGCAGAGATTAGCATGGCTGCCACGCCTAGGATGACACGCACATTCGGCGAGGCGGTGGCGCAGGCCTTTAATCCCAGCATTTGGGAGGTGGAGGCAGGCAGATCTCAGAGTTTGAAGCCAGCCTCGGACAGCCAGTTTCAGGACAGCCAGGGATACACAGAGAAAACCTGCCCCCTTGGGGGGTCGGAGAGGGGGAATTAAAGTGGGAGTTGGGAGCTGGTGAGATCGCCCAGCAGGGAAGCCCTAGTGACCAGAATTCCAATCTCAAGCAAGTTGCCCTTTGGTCTCTACCTTCTCTATGTGACAATAACTGAAAGTTAAAGCTGACCATGCTGGCTTACTTTGTAATCTCAGCTCTCAGGAGAAGACTGAGGCAGGCAGATCAAAAGTTGGGCTATCTATATTAAGATCTGATCTCAAAAGCAATTTGAGAGCAGAGTCTGAAGTAGTCCACACTGGTCTTGAGTTACGTATTGGAGCAGGACCTTGAATTTCTGGTCCCCCCCTGCCTCTACCTCCCAAGAGCTCGTATTACATACAGGCATACACCACCAAGATGTGGTGGTGTATGGACTTCAGAGGTGGTGGTGGTGTGGGAGTGGAACCGTGGGCTTTGTCGAGGTTAGACATGCACTTTACCTCCCTAAATTAAACTGTTGAAAGTGGCAATCTACTCTCTTACGCCGAGCACTTGCTGGAAGGGATTTGGCCTTCTCCAAGGGTAACTGGCTCTCCAGGGGATGCTGGGCCACGCTTATTATTTGTTTTGGGGGGACTCCTATTTCTAGCCCGATGATGGTGTGGGGAATAATAGTAACCCCTGAATCTATGTCCTGATTTTAGGCCAATCAAAGGATGTTGGGAAGCTCTCCTGTATGTGACTGGGTCCCTTCAAGCCACCAATCCTTTTGACTCTGCCTCTCAAATGCAAAAGTGTGACATTAGAGGTGTTCATGATGTCTGTTTTTAATTGTCTTCCACTCAACATTCCTTCCTTATTTGAGGACATATGTGCCCTCACTGGCAATACAATAATTACCAAATACATTCCCACTCCATGGGAAAGAAAACCAAGGCTTATGAACCTGAGTCATTGGCTGAGTCACAGGGAACAAAGATCTGGATTTGAAACCCCTCAAGCAGGTGGTGTCACAGGTGTGAGTGTGTTTTTTCAGTGCTTGCCTCTGCTTTATTTTCTTAATGCATGTGTGTGTGCATGTATGTGTATGCCTGTATGTGTGTGCATGTGTGTGCACGTATGTATATGCTTATATGTGTGTGCACATGTGTGTATGCTTGTGTGTGCATGTGTGTGTGCATGTGTGTGCGTGTATATGTATGCTTGTATGTGTGTGCATGTATGTGTGTGCATGTGTATGCATGTATATGTATGCTTGTGTGTGGATGTATGTGTGTGCATGTGTATATGTATGCTTGTGTGTGCATGTGTATATGTATGCTTGTGTGTGCATGTGTGTGTGTGCATGTGTGTGCATGTGTGCGGAGGCCAGAGGAGACCCTCAGGTCTCATCTTTAGTAACGCTTTTATTTATATTTTAATTTCTTTTGTGTCCTCATGTGTGGGTGGCGTGTTTATACAGGCATAGGAGGGGAACTTGCAGGAATCTGTCCTCTGCTCCCATCACACAGGTCCCAGGGAAGGGACTCAGGTCACCAGGCATCAAGCACCTTTGCCTGTTCAGCAATCCCCATCCCCCCTCTAAGGAAAACAAGCAAACAAGACCAAATTCAGTTCACTGTCAGATCCCGTGCTATGGGAGTGACGATATCATAAGGTCAGAGTCCTTGAATCTCAAGCCTGTGGATTCTGACCAGAGTTAGAAAGACCAGCTGGTCTACAAAGGGCACAGTAAAGAACTCTGCTCAACTCAGGATGTCCTGGGGTCAGAACCTGGTAAAATGTCTCAGCGGATCCTGCCAAGTTATCTGTGGTTCTGTATCGTCCTTAGAAATAAATCTGAACTCTCTTAACATTGTTAAAAAGGGACAGACATCATCCTTCCGCGGCTTACGCCATTTTCTCCTCCTCCAGCCCAAGTGGGTCCCAGATAGCTGCCGTCTCCTTCCTCCCACTGGTACACTCCTGGGTGCATCCCACTCAGGATCCACATTCAGCCAAGCTTCCCCGTTTCTGTTTGCCGACCCTCTTCCTCCAGGGCTTGGCCTGGCTTCTGATTGCTGCCTCCCCACACCCCTGTGTGTTTTGTTTCTAGTTTTTTGTTTTTGTTTATTTGCTTGTTGTTGTTTTTTTCCAGACAGGGTTTCTCTGTGTATCTCTGGCTGTCCTGGAACTCACTCTGTAGACCAGGCTGGCCTCGAACTCAGAAATCTGCCTGCCTCTGCCTCCCAAGTGCTGAGATTAAAGGTGTGCGCCACCACTGCCTGCCCCCCCCCCCCACAGTGTTTTCAATGCTATAATCCCTTGCTTGATCTATGACCGTTTGCTCAGCCTGTGTCTTCCCCTTCTGGCCTGAAACCCCTTCAGGACCAGAAGAATCTCTTCCAGGTTCTTACTTCCTTGGCAGAGACTTGCATGTGGCAGATTCTTCATAATTATCACCCATGGACTGCGTGACAGTTAGCTTTTACTGTCAAAATAATCACAACCTCGATTCACTAGTGAGGGAAGTCTCTGTAAAGAATTGCCTATGGTAGGTTGGCCTGTGGTATGTCTTGGATGCAGGAGGGTTTGCCTTAGTTAGTTAACTGGTATGAGAAGACCCAGCCCACTATGGGCGGCGCCATCCCTAGGCAAGGGGGGTCTTGAACTGTGCGAGAGTTGAGAAATCTAGGCGAGCATAAGCATGTATTGCATTCGTTTCTCTCTGGTCTTGACAATGGGTGTGCTGTAACTAGCTGTCTCAGATTCTTACTGCATTGACTTCCCTGTGGTGGAGCATAACCTGGAATTGATAGCTAAAATAAACCTTTTCTCCTCTAGCGTTGCTTTTCGCCATAGTATTTTACTAAAGCTACAGAACTGAAACTGGTACAGACTATACAGGTCTAACCAGCTTTCGGGCTAGAAGAAGCTACCTAGCCTTTGTGAGGCTCACTTTTCCCCATCTGTAAAATGGGAAGAATGTCTACCTACCTCCTGGGGAAGTAGATTCACATGGCTTGTGCAGTACCGTATCTAGCCAAGAGGGGTTGTGGCTGTGGGTATTTGAGGCAGGACAGAGGGCCTCATTTCAGGACCCACACTGATGGAAGAGAAGCCAGCTGTATGATCATAATGGCTTAGAGTCTGCTTCAGCCCAGACTCTGAAAGCCTAGCCTCCAGAGACCACATCTCTCTGTCCTCAGTCACTGCCAGGTCCCCTTTTGTGGCCCTGGACTGCTCCTCCTGCTTTGGCCCCAATCCTAAGCTGTCTTTAATCACCATCATCACCACCATCCCCACCATCGCGGGTGGTGCTCAGACCTGGAGAAACCGTTTCCAGCCATCCTTTCAGAAGCCCGGGAGCTGATCAGGGATCTCATCAGGAGGGATGGTCCCTTCCTCGAGCAGCCTGCCACCTGATCGTAGATGACCAGAGATTATCAAAGACGTTGATTGGGGTGACAGGGAGGAAAAAAAAAATCTGGCAGGCAAAATGCCCTTTACGAATGAAGAAGGTGGTTCTGTTGTGGAATTCGCATTGAAGAGAGCGAGCCGCCCCTCAGAGAGAGCATGGTAATGAGTTGACCAAGAGTGGCAAGCAGAAGGGGCGGTGGTGGCGCATGCCTGTAATCCCAGCATTTGGGAGGCAGAGGCAGGTGGATTTCTGAGTTCGAGGCCAGCCTGGTCTACAGAGTGAGTTCCAGGACAGCCAGAGATACACAGAGAAACCCTGTCTCGAAAAACCAAAAAAAAAAAAAAAAAAAAAAAAAGAGTGGCAAGCGGATAGACCGCCGGTGAGACCCCACTCTGTGTACCGGAAGTCCTATCCCCCTCCTCACAGAGCGCAAGAACGCAGGCTTCCTTTAGCTCCTTGGGTAGAAGGTGAGACCTCTTCCTCGAGACCTATCCTTTCCTCCTTCCTCCTCAAGTGGCCTAGTCTTCTGGGAACCCACCAAGCTGCCCTTGGCCTCAAAAAATAATGAAACTCTTCAACTCTCTATTACACAGGTGGTTCCAGTTAAGAACAAGACGCCCAGCTTGGCTCCTGGTAACAGGGAGGCAGGGACACCGTCTTCTCCGGTATTTATGTTTTCAAAGAGATGTTTCCCAGGCCTGTAAGAAAAACATTCCTGGCTAATGATGCTGGCCAGGAACTTGTTTAGGCCTTGAGGGGAAGGTGGACAGGATGCCTCCTAACCATGAGTAAGAAGGAGTAAAACAGGAGTTCTGCTGTTGGTGCTCCTACCTCAAGAGTGAGCCCCGAGGGAGGGAAGCATGCCCCCAGAAAACAGACACAAGAGGGCAAATTCCACATGCCCCCACCCCCTTTGCAGGAAACTTTCAGGAAAGATGAATCCAACAGGATGTAGGTTCAAGGATATTAAGGTCAAGGGGAAGGAAGAAAATGGGGGTTACTTGTTTTTGTTTTGGGTAGACTAGTCTGGTCTTGAACTCACAGAGATCCCCCAACCTCTGCCCCCCGAGTGCTGGTATTGAAGGCACGCGCTACCATGCCCAGCTATTTTCTTTGAAAGATTAAAGTTACATTATTTTTTATGTATATGGGTGTTTTGACTGTCTGCATGAATGCCTGTGTGTGTC